AAAGAAAGCATGCAATACAAATCTTTATTATAGTTTTGAACAAGCATTGAAATCAAACTTACTTCTATTTTCTAATAATATTGTTCATATATGTATCCTTAAACTATGATGCTTACCAAAGTTCAATAGAATATCACAATGTTAAATAACAGGAGCATTGGAAAGGTCAAAACAAATACAACGTTGTTCAAAAGTGTCGGTATTGAACAAAATTATTTGCAAGTACAGTCACCCCAAACCTTTTCATCAAATGGATTATATATTTGTCAATAATGGAGTTAATGTAATCTTACTTCTATTTCACTTGATTCATGAGCTTGACCATAACATATGAAATTAGGAAAAGACAATGAATATGAATAACCTACATTAAGAGATATATATATTAATGCTATCATGGAAAAAAAGACATTATGCAGTAATGTGGCTCAAGCGCTTAATGTAGCAGTGTCTAAGACTTCCTGATATGGAGGCAACAGACCAGCTTTGTGATGCCTTCACCCGCTTGCATTTTCCCATATCAAGAAGACAATCTATTCAATTGCTCACCAAGTCATGACAATATCCACACCCACACCCGACTCATTATGAGAGAGAGAGAGAGAGAGAGAGAGAGAGGTCAAGACCTTTGTAAACACTCATACTTCTTGCAATACAAGACCATCCAACAAAGACAAAAATCTGGTATTCATATTTACAAAATGAAATGGAAACATACAACTGTTATTTACACATCAACAAAAAGTTCTTACAGCAAAAAGTTTCCCCTTACTGTGTACACGTTGAGCCCTAGACCGAGATAAAATATCCCTACATCCCTAGATATCCCTAGACCGAGATAAATATCCCCAGATATTTAAATATCCCTAGACTGAGATAAAATGGAGCAAACTTTTACCCTTTCCAAAGACTCTCCAGACTACAGATAATGAGGGTAAGTCTCTATGATATGTTTAGAGAAAATGTCCCAATTGAACACAAAGTAACCAGACTTGGAAAAAAGTTGAACTCATGGTCAGTGGCCTCTCCAGAAACTTCAACTATGTGAATTTGCATTGGGAAAATGTGTACCCCAAATTCCTTAAGTAGTAAATAAAATATACATCATATCTACTAAAACCAAAAGCACTTTACTATTAACAAAACTGTGTTTGATAGATAATTTTATTATATATATATATATATATATATATATATATATATATATATATATATATGGACTTCACATCTAAGCAAAGGGAAATAATCATTATCGGTGCAATGTCATGTGTGTTTTGAAACAGGTACAAGACGTGTATCGCTGTAATCCTTCCAACTACATCACATCAAACATGGTAACATACAGAAAAAACTTCCTTGAACTAAATCCATATACACCACTAACAGTGAAACAATATGGTAATAACACACACACACTATCAGAAACCTTTTTAGTTAACTAAGCCAAGTTATCTCAAAGCCATTCTCAATTGTTTTCCCTCTTATTTCATCTGAAGCTAAACATGTTATACTTTGCTGTATGGTAATAACAACAACTCAAACTTGTATATTGTATAAAGAAAATATGAAGCCAATGTGGCTCTCCAATTACTGTAAGGTTACTTTTGTTTGTCAATGACATGAGTACACTTACACTTAACAAAATAAAAAAAAGAGTATAAGTCTCGGTTTTATCTTTAAAGTATAATATAGTTCTTGATAGAATTGAAACTTCTGAACATATCAGGTTATGGGCCTCTGGTATGTGT